GCATCAAATGAAGGGCGCCCGGTACGTGTCCTCAGTCGACATGGCCGCGGGCTACCATCAGATACCATTGCGCGAAAGTGACAAGCCTAAAACGGCATTCCGCACACCTGATGGAGGGCTATGGCAGTACACAGTGGCACCTTTTGGGCTTGTGAATTTGCCTGCGCAATTCACACGCTTGATGCACAACACTTTGGGCGCTGCCCTAGGTGCATATGCCATGGTTTACGTCGACGACGTCTTGATATATGATGACTCCATGGAAACGCACCTTGCGCATATCCGTGACGTCCTATCACGCATCAAAGACGCTGGTCTAAGTGTGGCGCGGCACAAATGCCAATGGTTCCAAACTGAGATCAAGTTCCTTGGTCACATTGTGGGATCAGGGGGCATTCGTCCGGACCCAGAAAAGGTTCAGGCAATGTCTGACATGAGCGCGCCATTGAATGCCAAAGGGAGAGCTGACAAGGGGCTAGTACGTACAGTACTGGGCTGCTTCAACTATTACCGGCGGTATGTTCAAGATTTTGCGACATTGGCAGCCCCACTTGTGGAGCTGACCAAAAGTGATGCAGAAATGGTATGGGATAGGCGCAGGCGCGATGCCTTTGAGGCATTAAAAAAGGCAATGTGCGAGGCAAAACTGGTGTCACACCCAGACTTCTCACTACCATTTGTGCTGTACACTGATGCATCTCAAACTGCCATTAGTGGCATTTTGACGCAATTTAAACCAGTGCAGGCACTTAGTGGCAAAGAAGCTGCCCCCGCGGCAGGCCGCAGGCGCACAGTAAATGGGAAGGAGGAAATGGAAGTAGTAGTGGGTTACTTCTCAAAAATTAATTCCACACAAGACGCCAAACTTGGCGCTACCGCGCTAGAGTGCCTGGCCGTCGTGCTGTCACTCAACCATTACCGACCTTACGTGTGGGGCAACCCAGTCACAGTGGTTACAGATGCGGCGGCCCTACGATGGCTGCTGACTTTGCAGGACCACAATGGCAAGCTTATGCGGTGGGCTATGAGGTTGCTGGAGTACGACATTACCGTACAACACCGACCAGGCCTGGTGAACTCAAATGCAGACGGCCTGTCCAGGCTCCCTATGCAAAAAGAGTTGGACGCTCCTAGAGAGTATGAGCAAGCAGACGAGCAATGGTCAGACTCAATTCCATGCTTTGCAGCACCACCTTCAGGGGTGAAGTTTGCACATTTTGTGGAAGAGTTTGCGGCGCCCTTAGGGGAGTTTGCTGACCAAGCAAAGGCGACCAACCATGGGTCACATGTTTCTGCAGCGGCAATTAAAATTGCCAACTTCAGGGGTAAACTGGTGAGCAATGAGTGGGGCACTCCCTTCTTGCTCAATGAGCTAGCCATGAAGAATGCAAGTGAGGACTCAAGCATAGCAGCCAGGCTGGCTACGCTTACGGTCCAACAGGTCAATGTTTTGCTATGTGAGCTGGACGAGGAAGACTCTTCGTGGACGGATGGAGAGACTGCGTCGATGTCTTTCAGTCCAGCTACTTTGCATATGTATGCTAATGCATGCATGGATGAGGCGGCAGAGTCTGACTGGGACTCCCCGGCATCTAGCAAGACTGCGAGCATATCTGCCAAGCGCCGCCGGGTCGCTGCCAACACCGCTGTACCGCTACCAGGGGGCGCCATCCCCCCGCAGCGAACAGAGGGGGTGTCGGAGCCATGCCGTAAGCGCACACTCAGCAGGCCCAGCCATGAACTGGTCCCTGAACCAGTTGACGGGACCACGCCTGTGCCGGCAATGCTAAGCCGGGAAGCGTTTATTGAGCTCCAGCAGCGGGACCCCTTGTGTCAGGCAGTGTCACGCACTCTGAGGGACAATATATACCCGCAGGATAGTGAGCTGGCTGCACACTTAATGGTGAACCGTGACTGGTACTGTCACGAGGAGGACGGCCTGCTGGTACATCTGGCCACCAGCCACCCCAAACGCGGGATGGTGCTGCGCCAATGGTTTGTACCCGCCGCGCTGCGCCCTCTGGTTTTGAGGCTGGGGCATGACGACGCCACGGCCGGTCACGCCGGCGCAAGCGCCACGTATGTCCGCCTGTTTGAGCGCTTCTACTGGCCTCGCATCAGCAGTGATGTACACACGTATGTCACTAGTTGCATGTCTTGCCTACAGCGCAAGAAGGCTACGACTGGCAAGGCCAAGATGATGTTAACACTGCCAACTCGCATGTTTCAGCGAGCGCACACTGACATCACCATGACCTCGGTGGTGTCTTCAGAGGGGCACATAGGGCTGCTGACAGTAATTGAGGCACGCTCTGGATTTTGCTGGCTCATGCCAATTAAAAACAAGGACATGCATACGGTTGCAAGGCTCTTGTACAAGGTAATCCTAGAAATGGGATCCATGTTAGAGGAGCTGGTGTCGGACCAAGGCAAGGAGTTTCTGAACATTGTGGTGCGCGATTTGTGCTCAATTTTCAGGATCATGAAAATTGACACAAGTGCATACCACCCACAGGCAAATGGGGTCGCTGAACGGCAAAATGAACGCATCATGGCCATTCTGACTGCCTGGGTTGACAAGACCCAACAGAATTGGCATGAGGGCGTTGAGGCCGTGCAGTTCGCTCTCCGGTCCACCCCCAGAGAAGAAACAGGCCTGAGCCCTTTCTACTGTGTGTATGGCCGCGAGCCGTCCCTGCCATTCGAAACCTTCCCTGATGAAGTGCATGGTGGTGACTTACATTCTGAGATTGAACGCAAGCGCGTCAACCTCAAAATGGCACAGAAGGTTATTGATGAGGCATATGGCATCAAGGCGCGCAGAGTTGACAAGGCTAATGAAGCGGTCAAGCGCGCAATGAAGGTTAAAGTTGGGGACCTGGTCATGATCAAGCAGAAGCCTGCTAAGGGATGCTCCAGGAAGCTGGACCCTAAATTCATTGGACCATGGGTGGTAGCAGAGGAAACTGGCGGATCTGGGCTGTCATTTTCATGCCGCATGATGGGGCGCCGGGTGCGTCGCACACGGGCACATGTGACCAACATGAAGCCTTTTCATTTAAGGCCAAGTGTCATGGAACTTGACAAGCCCTACGCGGTGCTTAATGAGGAAGACATTAAGCAACTGCCCAAGGATGGCTGGCTAGAGAGGCTGGTAGACCGCCGGTACAACCCCAATGGTTCGTGGGACTACCGTTGGCTGCTCAGAGATGGTACGTTGAGCACATGGAAGACAGAGGACGATGCACTCGAGGTTGCCATGCCTTGGACGCTCGATACTTTTCACGCGCTCTACGAGTTGAAGCATGTGAATGACATGCCTGACTACGCCACGAGGATACCACGGGAGGACCGGCGCGTATCCACGAAAGAGGCTGCGCTGGCCCTATTCCCGAGAGGTACTAAGGTGGTGCGTGAGGAGCGCGGCGCGCTTAAGCAACAAGTCAAGTACCTATGGGGAACCATCACTGGTTACCTCGCACCGTACTGGCGCGTGCGCTATGAAGATGGTGACTGGGAGGACTTCACAAAGCGGCAGTTGCAATGCGCAATTGCGTTGGCTGAAGCCACTCAGCAGCGCGCAAAGGATCTGGGCGTCACGGTTTCTAGCCCCAAGGTGGTGCAGGAAATGTGCCCTGGGATCCCACCAGACTTTGGTGCGACTTACCATGGTCAGACCGTGAGAGTCAAAAGTGCAACTGGTTGGAGCCGTGCAGTGCTCAAGGAATACTTGCCCCGGGCCGGCAAGTACACATTTCGCGTGCATTACAACGGGCACCCAGTCACGCGTTTAATCACCGTGCGGCTGAGGCCTGACTACTACAGCACCGCAGTTACAAGCGAGCAGGCTGAGGCAGACCCTATGTCCAGTTGGAACCTACTGCTGACCACGGTCGCAGAAGAGGTCCCCTTGGGCCAGGAGTCTGGTCAGGGAGGTTCAGATTCATACAGTGGCGATGACATGGATTTGAGCGATGGTGATGTGAGGTAGCTACACCACGCATGTGCTCAGTGGCTGGCCGGCGCTGTGACATGAAGCTATCCTCGAGCTGTGCAGCGGCGCCTTAAACGAATATTGCGCTGCACAGTACCTATGTGGATACTCTATACGAGGGTCTGTAAAGGTTGGGTGTGGAGGTGAAGCAAATTGAATTACACATACGCTAACGTAGAACTGTAGCAACGTTGATCCCTGTGGTGCTATGCGTTTCTCTGGGGACAGAGAAATCATGAGAAGGGGGAGTTGACACGGGCAGCTGTATGTAAAGTAAACTATTTATGTAGCCTTCTGGCTTATGATGTTTCAACTCTATTATATTCGGCCGTTATTAGGGCCCAGGGCAATTGGTTCGAACTAGGGGAACATTGCAGGAAAACCCCTTAACCGGTGAGACCCTTGAGTCTCCCCAGATGAAGGGTTGTGCTTGCAAGGCCTCGGTTCTTGTCAGTCAGCTAGGATACCACGGCTCCAGGATAGAGACAACTGAAGCCAACAACCATCAACCATCATGGACCCTTCTAAATCAGCCCAAGCCAACGCTGCCCCATCTACAAGTAAGACAGGCTTAACATAACAAATATAACCCCAACTTTGTTTCACAGGAGACTTCGTAGCTAAGGAGCTACGCGAGCTCAGCAATCGCTGTCGCTTGCACACATTGTAACACACACACAAACACATTCACAACTGCCACTCTGCTTCGAAGGCGGAGCGTCCTACTTGAGGTTAGCTGGCCACGGCAGGCGGCCACGATGTGTACGGATTAATTGCCGTTAGCTGGCCACGAGAGGCGGCCACGATGTGTACGTTCAAGCTGTGCTACACTATGCTGTGCTACACTACGCTGTGCCTTTCCTGGAAGCCTACGGAGGGTGGTCGAGCTTAGCGTGGCTCCGCAATTAAGGCAGAGGACACTCACGACACTAATCTACGATATAGGTATCGCGTAGCGAGGCCTCGCGATTAAGCGGAAGACACACAAAGCGCCTGTCTCTCGGTTGCCACTGTTTTAGGCTAATCGGATAGGGCGTCCGCCTGCGAAGCGGGGGGTTGCAGGTTCAGATCCTGCTTCGGTTGCCACTGTTTTAGGAGAGCTCAGCAGTGTGCTACAGCATGCTAACTTACCTTGTTGTTGGTGGAGACCTGTGGAGGTGGGGGTGTCCTCAGCTATAGCTGTCTTGTGCCACTGGCAGGAGGGAGAGATGGAGAGAGAGTGATTGTGCAGCTGCCTTTTTGGCAAGTTGCAATTGGACCCTCGGCACAATCCAGGGGATCTGACTCAGGAGTAACTTGTATGAAACCCTGCATCATCACCCGACATACCAGGGGTATGCCCTAATAATGGCATCATCAGACACGGATACCACAATGTACAATCCGTAACAGGACTCCCCGCCATGTGCGTCATCACACGCAACAAGTATGCAATGTGCGCTGTTGAGAGGGCTCAGCGTATGCTACCTATGCCTTGCATAACTTTTGTTCTATAGAGCTACACAGCCAGCCTGCATGATCCCATGTATATCTGACCCACTTTCATGTTGAAACAAAATTGAGATTGCCGTGGCACTCTTATGGCAGCTAGGTCTCGACAAGCGATGTTTTGGCTTGAAAACAACAAGTCTTCCGGAACCCAGGCGGCAAGTTCAGCTTGTCTTCAGGAAGCCACTTCCTCAAAGGGACTGGTTGCCACGGCCCACCAGAGCCTCGCTTACGTTGTCTGGGAAACTGGCGGTAACAAGCAGCAAGGCGACAGAAAAAACATCACCTGTCACGTCACTCCCTATGACTCTTGGGTCAAAAGTAGGGGGAGGAGTGTAACGAGGGAGGAAAGAAAGGGGGGTCCTTTGTGAAATGGTGGGCCAAACTTGGCCCGCTTCACATCGAGGGGCCCCTTGAGGCAATTGCCATCGCTACCACATACCTAGTGCACCTTGACCAATGACTCATTGACCATTGTGTCATCGAATATGTCAATGCGCTGGCGTCATGTGTCTCATGTTGTGTGTGGTACAAAATATGCAATATATTGCTGGTGAGAAGTTTGGCATGACACCAGACCCTGCACACAGTGATGGCAGTCAAAACGTGGAGAGTCACCTCCCGGACTAAGTTGACGTTCACCAAGAACAGTAAGAGGACAGCGACAGCCAGCCTGTGTGATAGATCCTGATGCGTCCTCCTGCACCAAGCCCTGCTCTCTCCGGCCATCTACATGTGAGTGCTACCATGCATGTGGTCTAGTCTGCCTCTGTATTCAATTTGCCAAAACTGTTCCCTTGCACCATCACCATCAGGCTCCTGGCGCATTCACCGTACGCCTTTAGTGCTAGGTCCATACAAAGTTTATTGCTCGCTCAAGAGCGGGGTGGTATTATTCGGGCAACTCGACACACACAGGTATATCGCCACCAAGAGATAGCTGGATGCCGTCGCTGCGGACTTTTTTCATAAGCGCCAGGAGGCGAGCCGCAAGCCGAGGCAGATCGGTCGTTCCGCCTCCCAAGCAGATAGCCCAGCAACAGCACATGACAGTGTAGGACATGTTTCATCGCCCCGTACTGCACAAGGCCGCCCTTAGATCACACTCTGGCAATCATGCAAGGTCTGCTCCAGGCGCTCAACAGCAAGGTGCCGCGTTCTATTCTGGCGTGGGGGCGATTGAACGCTGCAGCTTCTTCAATAAAGCCATTGCCAAGAGGTGATGCACGAGAGCTCATAACTTTGCAACATCACAAATCTGCAACATCTCAGGTATCTTCGTCATATTTCGGTGTGTGCAGGTGCATGCCAGTGGTACAAGCTGACAGCCACAGCGGCTGCTGCAACCCAGCGTACTGCCAATACTACACCTACGACAGCACCACGGCGTGCAAGCCCCTGCTGCTGCACTGTCCATCCGCTGCCGCGCTGTGAGAAGCAGGGTGGCAGGTGAGACGTGCTGCTGAGCAGTGCTGCTTGTGAGCAGGCCGCTGAGCACTGATAGTGCTACTGTGCTGTGCGTCGAGAAGAAGAGCATCAGACGAGATGCGCAGTTGAGGCGTGCTGGTTATTAGAGCAGTGCTGCCGAGCATTGCTGTCATGCTTCGGCAATTTGAAACCAGTGGCCAGCACCGGCTGCACGCTGAGGTTGCTGGTTTCCAAGTCGGTGCTTGGAAGCACGGCACGCCGATTTGCGCAATGTTGCTGTTGTCAGCGCTGCAGCTCTAGTACTCAACTAGAAGTACAAGTTCACATCAGGTGCAGGCTTCTCCTTGAGCCTTTGACGAGGTCCCTGGCCTCCTCAATGTCATCACACTTCACCATTGACAGAACTCCTCTCAATGCGCCGTAACATTTGCAGCTTTCAGGCGGCCTCACGCACAACCGCTACCCCGCTGCCTGCATCGTCTTTGCCTCACACAGCCCTTGAACCCTACAGCAGCCCTGACCTCAACCTTGATAACTCTGTGCGCGCAGCTGCTTCCGCTCCGTCTGGGTATGGTTCTGCCACAACATCGGCCACGCCACTCGCAACAACATCGGCAGCGTGTGCTGCAAGTCGCCGTATGACGTGCTGTTTGAGGGCAGTGGCAGCAGGTATGACCTCCAGATCATTCATGTGCGTTCCGTACAAGTGCTTGAGTGCGTCCTGTGTTCTACAGTGTACCGTCTTCCATGTATGCACCAATCATTACATGTGCATGTGTTTACCCCTGTGCATGCAACTTGAAGCAGGTTATCATGTTTCAAAATATGTCAAAAGCAACGATATGTACCATGCTGGTACAAGCAGAGAAAAGCAGAGGACCCTCTTGAAAAGTTTAACTCAAGCTTGCACAATCCTCTAAAGCATACGTTGCACGAGCACTTGAGTGTCGGAACTGAGACCTCCAGAGGCTATGCAATTGCAACCCTAGCTACCCCCCCCCCCCCACGCGGCCGTTCAGCAGCATTGAAGACTGGGACGGCAGCTGTTCTACTGTGTGCAACAAGCTGAACCTGCCCTGCGTGGCCAACCAGACCAAGCGCATGCCCCTGCCCTATGGAGTAGACCAGTCGGAGGGCAACGAGTTCTGCCAGCGCCCCCCCCCGTCTCGCCAAGTGCCAGGATATGCATGCCAGATGAGTTTGCTCACCCTAACCCTATTTAAAGTTTCTACCTGGCAGACCGTGCACATTTGATGTCTACTGTACATGAACCATGGTGTTTGCCATGTAGTGGACTCCTCTCGTAAAGTTTCCTCAGCAACTTCGTCAAATGGCATGGCACTTTTTGTCATGACTGCAGGATCATGGCAAGCCCGGTTACCTGATACGGCTCGCGATTTCATGAATGCACTTTGAAGTATCTGTTAAAGCCCAAATATGGGTTTCATTAAGTACTGCTCGACTGCCTATTATAGGTTATTTCATGTGTGCATGTATGGATTTGCCCCCGCCCAGCTAATTGAGTGCACCACATCAGCCAGGAGGGCGCACAGTCAGACATGATGACATGTGCTCTGGGGATTGCACTGATGCTCACATGATGTCCAAACCTCAGTCACGTAAACCCTGCCCGAACTAAGCTAACCCTAATTGCAAGCGCTCACCCTACTTCCAACTGCTGTCATAAGTAGGGTTGGAGTTAGCATGCTGCCACCTTGAGCTGGCAACGCTTACCTCTCACCCTGCACCATGACCACAGATGCTATCGACAGCTCTTGGTGCAGGCAGTCTAGCCGTGGCTGACAGGCAGCAAGCAACGGACCAGCTAGCAGGATATGGCCAAAACATGCCTTTTAAATCTAAATGTATATCTGCAAAAATGCACCTATAGTACTAGTAGTACCGTTGGCCAAAAGTGTATGTTCGTCATTATTTTCATCATATTGCAGGCCTCAATGATTGAGCAACAACAATTCTCAAAACAAAAAAACTGCATTCGGGGGGCATGCATGACTGTGATTCAGACTCCCAGGTTCATGCCCCCATTCGTTGTAAGCAGCATCGCATGACCATCATGCATAGTAGCAACAAGAGGATGAGGCTGAGCAGAACAGACATTGGTGCATGCTTGCGCCGCCAAATGGCGCAGCAGCAGCGCGTCACCGCCGAGCGCACACTCTATGACTTGTGTTAGACAAGGCTGCCCTACATATGCTCTCACCAGGCCCTGCTGCTTGAGGCACAGGGCATGGCCACCCTATATACAGCATGAGGAACCCCAGTAAGAGCGAACCACATCAGAGCTTGCCTAGTAGGAAGGCCTTCAACAGCAGGCGAAACGGCGCTGCAGCAGGAGGGTATCACGCTTGACAACCTCTAAGAGCTTCAGGCGCGGAACACCAGCTTGGGTATGGAGATGTGGAGCGTCACGGTAGTGAAGTTCAACCTTTGACGAGCAGAATTATGGAATGCACGTGGAGTTGCGGGGGAGCAAGCTGCAACGCTGATCAGTTTGCCGCGGTTGAGACAGTTTAGGAACATGTCCACTGCGTCACGGGGTAGTGCCTGATCAACCGCAAAGCTGCAACGGCAACGCATCGCTGCCCGCCATCCACTGGCACATGCTCAACCTGGATGCGGGGGCCCAACCTGAGCAACTGGATGTGAACGGCTGCGGCAAAGTAAGAGTAGCACCAACGTCCGCCATGCCCTTGTGCAGAGTCGACGGCTGCATCACCAACGTGCAACGAAATGGCTGGGTTTGCTACGGCAAACACAAGCACCTTGCCATCGAGGAGCAGAAGGCGTACATGGTTGGACACAACAACAAGAAGCGCCTGCGTTAACGTTACAACAAGCAAGGGTGTTGGGCGGAACGCCTGCCAGCCCAGATCGAGCAACAGCAGAGGGTCGCCAAGCGGGGCACTCTGCATGGGCCTGTCCTGCTCGAGGCCCCCCTCCGCCAAGCTTTGGCCGCGCTGAGCGCGGAGGGCACCCTGCTTCACACCATCATGCGCCACGGCCTGGGCATGTACACAGGTGTGGCCCGCTACGTCCGCTGCCTGCTACAGCTGCAAGGCGGGGCCTCGACCGCAGAGCCCCACTCGTTTCTCAAGCAGAAGGCGACATTCGCCAAGAAGCAGCAAACGCTCAGAGACAATGGCATCGT